TAATTTTATTTTACATTTTAAATTTATTTTAAATGTAAAATTATATATTTGGTTATATAATGGTCATATATTTTGTATATTTAAAATTATTTGCTTAATTTTAAAAGTGCGATTTCTATATCTGGAAAAGTTATGTAAAATAACACGATCCAAGCTCTAAATATTTCATCAGATAGAAATTGTGAGTAAAATATTTTTAAAAAATCATCATTTGAATATTTTGGAAAATAAGGGGCCTTGTTAAAAAGGTTGAGAACCACTGATTTAAACAGATTGATTTTCATTTGTAGTGTTTTAGTTTTATATTTAGTAGTCAAAATAGTGTAGAACTTAATAAAATTGATTCAACATTAAAATAATTGTCTTATTAGTATTGGCCTGAATACATGAATTTTCTTTTTTCCAGCCATAAAGAATGACCAGTATGACCTGGCTCTGCTGCTGCTACGCTTCAATGCCACAGTGGACCAAAAAGGAAGTCTTCAAAGAACCGCTCTGCATGAAGCATCTGTGCTTGGCTTGGATAACTTTGTATACCTACTCCTACAATCTGGCGCTGACCCAAATGTCATTGACATCTGTGAACATACTCCTTTAGGACTTGCAGCTCAAGCTGGACATTTTAACGTTGTAGAGATTCTGCTTCAAAAAGGTGATTTTGCAATCTATCTATCTGTCTGTCTATCTATATATCTATCTAATCTATATCTGTCTATAATTGTCTGTTTGGCATTGATCACTTGTCATAACATTTAATGACCTGCTCATCTTCAGGGGCCAGTGTGTGGTCCAAGCCTCATTCTCTTGGTTCAGCCTCAGTTTTATTCGACGCTGCGGCTTCTGGAAACCCCGATATCATTTCACTGCTGCTGGAGTATGGAGCTGATCCCAACGTGCCCACCCACACCGGTCATCTCCCCATCCACCGTGCAGCCTACCGCGGACATCTGCTGTGAGTACCACCCTACTGATGGGTTAATCAATGTAGTGTTTACCCTAAAAAAACCTCTGTTTGTGTCTTTCATAGAGTGCTGGAGCAGCTGATCTCTGTGACTAAGAAAGAGGTGATCAAAGAGAGCGGCATGAGCCCGTTACACTCCGCCGCTGCAGGTGGTCACTCTCAGTGTCTGGATCTGCTCCTGAGCTCCGGGTTTGACCCAAACTTCATGCTACACCCCAGAGTGCGCAGGAACTATGAAGATGAACGCAGGTCAGCGCTGTTCTTCGCTGTGTCGAATAACGACGTGCAGTCAGCAAGGCTGCTTCTGGAGGCCGGGGCCATGCCCAATCAAGACCCTGTCAACTGCCTGCAGGTGGCCATGCGACTGGGCAACTACGAGCTAATCAACACTCTGCTCCGCTACGGTGCCAATGTGAACTACTACTCCCGTGTCAACACCACCCACTTCCCTTCTGCCCTTCAGTACGCACTTAAGGATGAGGTGATGCTGCGTATGCTGCTCAATAATGGCTATGATGTGCAGCGCTGCTTTGACTGCCCATATGGACAGGCCTCACATGTGCCCGTGGATTATGAGGGCTGGAGCGCTTCTGTCATCAAAGATGTTGTGGTAAGACCAGTTACTGCTCACTTTTCAGTGTCAAGGGGTATGATCTGATCTTGTTAAAGGACTAATGTACCCAAAAATCAAAATGAAAATTCACTCACCTTAATGTGTTATTCCAGACTAAATGTGTTATTTACAGTCTATTCAGCAAAGACACATTAAATTGATCAAAAATGAAAAGATTTCTGTTTCAAATAAATGCTGTTCTTCTGTTCTTTCTATTGATCAAAGTATCCTGAAAGAATCATGGTTATCTACAAAAATATTAAGCAGCACTGCTTAATACAACTGTTTTCAACATTGATAATGATAAGAAATGTTTCTTGAGCACAAAATCAGAATATCAGAATGATTTCTGAAGGATCGTGTGACACTGAAGACTGGAGTAATGATGCTGAAAATTCAGCTTTGCGTCACATGAATAAATTGCATTTTAAAATATATTACAGAATTGTAATAATATTCCGCAATATTACTGTTTTACTGTATTTTTGATCAAATAAATGCAGCCTTGGTGAGCACAAGAGACTTCTTTCAAAAGCATTAAAAACACTTTTGAATGATAGTGTATAACTTTGTCTACAAAATACAAAAGCACATATTTTGAAGAACATTTAGGTCTAAACAAAAATCCCACTGACTTAAAAAAAACTGACATTTTTAAGAATTTCTTCTTTTGTGATGAAAGAAAGGCAAACAGGTTTGGAGCAACATGAGGGGGAATCAATTATGACAGAAGTTTCATTTTTGGGTGAACTGTTTCTTTAAAGGTACCTGCTGTAAGTCTAAACTCATTTTTTGTGCAGTTCTGTGAGGTGATCACGGTGTACTGGCTCAAGCACATCTCAGCCCAAGTAGTGAGAATCATGTTGGATTATGTTGATCATGTGACTCTCTGCTCCAAACTGAAGAGTATTCTGGTTGAACAAAAACAGTGGCCGGAAATATGTAAGATACAAGGTAAGTCTCAAGTCACACATCTTGAGAGCATGTTCTTTATTCTGTTCATGCATATATTTAGTTAGATCCAGACAAATGTTAACTTGAAATTCTCAGTAGACCTAATGTATAGTTCCTAAATGTGCAGTTTTATACTTGTCGTAAGTGATCATGTACTTAAATTAAAATGCAGCACATTCCAGAATGTATTTATGTATGTTCTCTGCTCATCAGAAAATGCTCGAAGCCTGAAGCATCTCTGCAGACTGAAGATCCGTGACTGTTTGGGTCGCTTGCGTCTGAGGGCTCCAGTTTTTATCAGTTTCCTGCCTCTGCCCGCCAGTCTCAAAGACTATATTCGCTTCAAAGAGTATGATATTTACAGCAGAGGAAGTATGCCTGAAGAGTAAAACCAGATTGATAAATCTGTACTACAGAATCTGCTATAACAAAACTTTCTAAATGTACACTTTTTATTAAAAAAGCCTTGTGAAATATTCATTTGCGTTAAAAAAAATAAGATAAACAGTGTTGAAAATCTGTGATTCAATGGCTACCAGCAGCACATTCATCAAACTATCTTTTTTTGTGTGTTCAACAGAAGAAAGAAACTCATACAGGTTTGGAACAACTTGAGGGTGACTAACTTTTTTGGGTAAACTATCCATTTAAATGTGGAAAGACATGGTTTAGGAATCTATGTATCAATCTTTTTCATTCATGTTTTGAACTCGTGATCATTGCACGAAATTCGTGAAACCTAGCCTAGCTAGTTGAGCACAAAGGGCTCGTGATGATTCTGGGTGTGAGGAAGAGTGACTTTCCCCAAACAGCTATTGTTGATAATGTTGATTGATTCGTTCTTGGCACCGATTCTCTGTGGACTCGCCGTCGTGACGTCTAGCGCCGCTGGGGGGCGTCAGGCTGCGTGAATGTAAACAGAGTGACGCCAGAGTTTTGCAGTGGTGGGGAAGGCATACGTCACAGGCATAATGGCGGAGGCTGGTTGAGAAGGAGAATTACTCCGTGAAGCGGCACTGAAACCAACTTCATCGCCAGCTGACGAGGTGACCGCTGGTCCGAAAAATGGCTAGCAATTTCAGCCAGGAGAGAAAAATCGACAAGGAGAGCAGCAAAGCCGGCGGCCTAACCTTGGAGGATGGCGATAGCAAGAAACAATTGTTGTCAGCCTCTAGCACGGCCACATCCAAGCAAAATGGCGATCAAGCTGGATGTGAAGACGAGCTAATGTCTGAACAAGATGCTTCTGAGCGACGGAAGGCAGGGCTGTCGGACCTAAAAAACTGCGGCGGTTCGCCTTCGACACTACCGCGGTCGGCCGAGGAGCTGCCAAGGAGGAATTTTCAGATTCCGAGGAAAATCAAGGAGCGGAAAGGTTGTGTGTCCCATTGCTACCACCACCACTACTATGTTACGGCCATTCCCGAAATGCACGGTTTCTGTTTCACAGCCTGCAAGTTCGCTTAAAGCTCGCTGCTTACCGCTTCGGGTCAAATTAATCGAGCGGTATTGATAAGTAAACAGGGAATCTATATAACGCACCGAAAGGTTTGCGCTACTGGTGTTTAATGAATTTTTAGTTAAGTTAGTGCACTGCTCAGAGCTGCAGGAAATAAAGTCGCGAGGATCCGGTTCCTTTCACGCGCCCGCGCGAGTCGTTTAACGCAAACCTCGAAGACACGGTGCATTTTTGTCCCACTTTTGTAAGCCTCACGGAGGCCGATGTCTTTGCTAGCTGGCTCCACACTCCTCCTCCCACAGCATACAGTGCTGCCACCCCACATGACACACTTCTTCCCTCCTCATCAATGGCAGCAGTGTGATTCCGTTGACCACTGCATTTCTCCCGTCAGTCTTTACGCACGACGGTTAGAAACACCTGTCAGTCCTGTACAACCAGCCTTATTAGGACGCACAGCGCCAAATCTTTTTTAAATATTGTAATCAGAAGAACGCTGCTTGAATGAAATCGAAAGTGTGCTAAACTGGGAGGTGTTTGTAGTAGTTGTGCATTACAGCGTTCACTGACATTTGCTGGCGTTAGTGCAAGTTTTTTTTCTGTTTGCTGGTGCTCTATATCATGTTTTATCGAGTAAGACCCTAAATTGTTTTCTAAAATGCACTTTAAACTCCAGTTTATGTCGTTTTTAAAATGTTTTTATTAGTCAATCGACAAAGCCAATTTGTTTGGCTATCGTGGGCGTTAATTGACCGATTAATGCAAGCTCTAAAATATTCGATGGTTTTGCTAATTGATTAAATGAACATTTTCAGATTTTATTATCTCATTTTTAGTAATTATTGTGAAATGTTATTTGTTGTGTCTCATTTTGGCAGGATTATTTTATGTACATTTCAACATAACACCGTCAGGTATTGAAAAACCCATTTAATGCACTGAACTGCAAGATGTATGGCATTTTGCAAAGTGTCTTGTCAGGTTATGTATGACTCAACTATGCATTTGAATTCTATGCTTTTCTGCTGCCTGAGAGGAATAAGGTGAGGCTGTGTTAGTTTTGCTTCAAGTGACACACTGTCTGATCCGTAAGGTTTTATAATAGTTCATTCAAAAAATTGTCATTTACTCACCCTCATGTTGTTCTAAACCTGTATCAGTTGAACACAAAATATGTGGGTGTGACATAACTGCCACAGTAATTACACTTATATCAGTACTTTGAATCAAATACAGCAGTGCAAGCATTATTCTGATTTAAACTGATTAAAATAATTATGCATCTTTATGAGACTGTAGCTCCCTCTCTGAAATTTATCTCATCGTCTTGTCTAATTATTTATTAGGACATACAGTGTAACATGTAAATGGAAATGTGAGATTAATAATTCTGTAAGCCAGTGATTTGAAAATGTTTTAAATGGCATCTTTCAGTGATAGTCTTGGTCAAAAGCACGACTGTAATCAAAGCAATATCTGCTCGACTTTACCAGGCTCACTGGATCTGCGAAAAGGGTCTTTCTGTGGGACATTCGCGGATCAACAATCTGGGAAGCCCTGTCAAAGGTGAGTGCTTCTGAAGAGTCTGTTTATATCTGTTTGGCTGTAATCATTTGCCTGGGAGGGGATTCCAGGGAGGACTCTGGTCACTTGATCTTGTGGTTTGGAGTAGTTGAATTGGTCAGGGCCAAAAAGACCGCTGCTCCACAATTTCTTGTGATCGCTAGGCCAAAAAAAATGTTAATGACCCAAACTCGCTACAGACATTCATTTTTGTGTGGATAAACATTTTGTAAAGTAACATCTGTTTTTTATATTGGTCACCCCTATTACTACTTTCTATTTTCAGAGCATGTTTGAGGTTTTGGAAGTAACAATGTTCATTTTGTTCTTGGCTGAGTGATCAGCTAATTTCTGATTCATGATTATCTTTGTATAGTTTAGTGAAGCAGCTGCTGTGCGTTTTCACAAAATTAGCATCTTGTGAATGTGACTAGGGTTGTTTTTAACTGGTGAAATGAAATAGTTTCTGCATATATTTAATCTTAGTAAACATAGAATGCTCTTTGCAGAGACTCAACAAATTTCTTGGGATTACCCCAAGGCTTTTTGTGGCTCTCAGGAATGTCGCCCCAAGTAACTCTCATATCCTTGATTGCTGCTTTTTCTGTTTTTTAGGGGTTTACCTATCAAAATACTCAGATTTGTTACAAATGAATCCATTTGAAGTGGGTGCTGCTGGAGACATAATACTATTTAAAACCATGAAGGTAAGTTATTGACGGAGTCTAACATTTACACATCAATTCTGACTTTGAGGTAGTGCTTTGTATTTATAACACATAATGTCACAATGGTTTCAAAAACAGTAGTGACCTTTTGTCTTATTCTGCAGGGTAAAGTGAAGACAATATTTGACAACATGCCCAAAAACAATCTTGAGCCGACCCTTAAATATGACAGCCATGTTTTCAAAAATGCCAGCAAAGTGACCTCATTATTGTCCTATAGGGCCTTTGAGCACACTCAGGTAAGTGTTTCATTTATTTTTCAGTATTTTGTTTTGCATGCCTCGAAGTCGAGTAAGTGTCTCTTTTATGTTTATTTATTGAAGTTTCTTTGTATTTACTCTTCACTTATTTACTTTCACTGATTTCTTGTTTTGCTTTTTAGTTTTGAAGAACTCTGGAGTAGATGAGGACCTTCTTGTTCCATTAGAGCCTAAAGACCCAATCAGCCATCAGCTAGATAATTTTATACCCGCCCTGCATCATGGCCTCTTTAAGCTGCGTGCCAATCCACCCAAAGAGCTTGCGGTGGGACTGAAACAGCAGGTGCTGGACTACCTCAACCAGAAAGAGCAAGGTGTCATACGGCCTTTCCACATAGTAGAGTACCGGCACAGTTTGGATGACCGGACTAACCAACACCAGGCAGCTCGTCCTAAAAATATGGATGTGGCACTGAACTCTTACATATATGGTCCGGTACAGTTCCAGCTGCCTGTGGAAGTGCTGCAGCAGGGTCTGATGGACAGCCAACAGGGGACAGTGTCTCCCCCAGCAGGCGCAGAAGAGTACAGTCCTGTCTCAGACTGGGGAGGGTCAGATAGACAGGCACCGGGTAGCAGCACGATTGGGGTTTCTCAATCTAATGGCGGCGCTCAGAGGTCACAGGGAGAGTATGACAAAGAAAAGATGGAGAAATTGCTAAAGCTGATACAGTTACATAAGCGGACTTTGGGCAAGGAGGAGGGGAGCGGGTCTGAAAGAGAAGAGGACTGGGACCCTGCTGGCCTAAAGAGGAGGCTGGAGAGGGAAGGTCCTGGGGGTGTGAGCAAGTACCTTAGGACGGGTCTGCTGAATGGAGAGCCAGGAAGAGGTGAGTCTGCGCCCAACTAATGTAAAGGAATGTACAACATGATTCTGGAAACCCTGTATGTGACATTTGGAAAGGACTGGAAAAATTGTAAAAAATCTGAAAATATAGTCTCATTAGTCTGCTTTAAAATTTTATTTTGAATTAAATTCATATTTTTTATAAAAATGTTTTTTAATTTATTATATTATTTGAAAAAAATTTTTTATTTCATAACAAAGATGTCATGTTATGTCTTACTTTCAAATGTTTTTTTTATTTTTTACATTTTTCCAAAAGCTAGTCTAAATTTAAAAGCTAATTTAAAAAAAAAAAATTATGTAACAAGTGATTATGAACGAAAAATCATAATACAGCTTTAGAAAAAAAAAATTCTAGACCTGCATATGAATCTGCATATGTGACCCTGGACCACAAAACCAGTCATAAGAGTCAATTTTTCGAAATTGAGATTTATACATCATCTGAAAGCTGAATAAATAAGCTTTGTTTTGGTTTGTTAGGATAGGACAATATTTGGCTGAGATGCAACTATTTGAAAATCTGGAATCTGAGGGTGCAATTTTTTTTTACATTTTTAAAGTTAAAGTTGTCCAAATTAAGTTCTTAGCAATGCATTTTAGTAATCAAAAATTAAGTTGATATATTTACAGTAGGAAATTGACAAAATATCTTCATGGATCTTCATCTTTACTTAATGTCCTAATGATTTTTGGCATAAAAGAAAAATCAATAATTTTGACCCAAACAATGTATTTTTGGCTAATGCTACAAATATACCCCAGCGACTTGACTGGTTTTGTGGTCCAGGGTCACATAAGAATACTGATCTTTGATTTAGTGCTGTAAGTAAAGGTGAAATGCATAGGAAGTTCCTGTACATCACTAATATTCAGAAGCTAAGTTTTTATTTGTCCCTAATAAGAGAGTAGGTGCTGTATCTACTCGCACAATAGAGTGTGACTGCAGTTGCTCAGAGACATGAGATCCTTGTTGACATCTGTTTTCCCTTTCTCTTAGCGGTGATGGACAGCATGGGGCTGTGTGACACAGACCTGCGGGAGCGCATGACTCCGAGTCCTACCCTCCAGGACACACATGCCTTGCTTAAACTCTTCCTCAGCACACTCAACAGGATGGCCCAAAACTCTACCACTGCCAGCAGCCAGCCTGCGATGCTCCCCAAAAGCGCAGAGAGACACGACCCCAGTGACTCAGCCGCCCACTGTGATCTTGACCTGCGTGGCAGGCGTGCTGATGAGGAGCAGGTTAACCAGGATTACTTGGAGGTGTGGACTGTTCCTCATGATATATCTAATGCTACACTCAATCTTTGTTTTTGCTAACCTGTAGTATGTGTGTTTAGGAGCAGATGGCCTGCAGCAGGAGCAGTATGGATGTGTACAGTCCCTCGTCCAGTCTGGAGCAGCAGCCCTCCCGTCAAGCAGAAGCCTCACATCAGAGCCACCATCTCTGGAGAACGTCCACCAGAGGTCTGGCCTCATCTGCATGCTTGCAATGCAAACTTTTTTTTATTCTTCTTATTAACTTTAAATATAACGCAGACTTCTTATTAATATCCACTACTGTTCAAAAGTTTGGGCTGGTAAAATTTTTAATTTTATAATCGAATCAAAGTTATCATTATAGTTAATGTAATGTGCATTTAAAATTTTGATTTTAAATATGCATTCTTTCAAAGTCACGTCTTGCAAAACTCTCCAACACTTGTACAGTACTTGTACATGTATAATTGAAATAATAAATTGACCAAACTAATATACATATTCTGTTTTTAGCTTTAGAGGGTGTTGGTGAACCTTGCTCGAGTGGAGGGGAGAAGCTGGTACACTCTACACAGAAAGTAGTAGACACTATCCTCAACAGCGAGTTCCAGAACCTCTGCACGGGGATCCAGAAACTGATGGAGGACCAACATTTAATTTACAACCATCAGCCTCCTTTGCCGCGATGTGAGGATCAGGCTAAATGGTCAAGCTCGGCATTCTCACCTTTTGTATCCAAATATGTCTCATCAATGCCTGTGCAGAGCTACGTTAACACACTCTGTGAAAAGATGAACCATTTGATCCGAGCTCCCAGGGCATCCGTACAACCCGTGGCTGTTGTGTCACCACCTGCTGTTGCCCCAGTGCCCGCCCCCTTGCCACCTGCTCTGCCCACTTCTGCCATGCCAGCTCCTGCCCAACCCACACTACCCTCACCTCCTGCTCATCCTCACACTAAAACATCATCTCCAGTGCCTAAGTCTCAGGCTTTGTCGAGCAAGCCGCAAGCTACCCTTAAACCTCATCCTTCAGGCAAGAATCGCCTCGGCACTGTCAAAGAGGTCCACCTGTTTTCAGCAGAAAAATCAGCTGACCACAAGAGTACAGATGTTGTGGAAAATCCTATGTGCTCCCCATTAGCTGGAAGTGCCAGTCAACCTCCAGTTGCTTCAGTCCCAGAGATTCCCTCAGAGCCTACTCATGCAGGAACATCGAGCACTGTGGGAGGCAGAGTTATTGGGCAAATCAAGCCTGATGTTTTGTGCACACTGATGGAGATCATGCAGAAAAATGCAGTAAAGTTTTACATTCAAAGAGGAGATGAGGAGAGCGAACTCTGCACTGAAATCAAGGTCTGAAATTATAAGGTTTCAGAATATTCATTGTGGCCTGATACATTTGAGCAACCTTTGAAACACCTTATCTTTAACCTCGTTTGTTTGGTTTTACAGGAGTATTTACGCAGCCTTGGCAATATTGATTGCAACCCTCAGAATTACCTGGAGAGTAAAAGTCAGCAGAAGTTCATGATCATTATTCAGAATGAGGATATAGCCGCTCATGTACATAAGGTACTTAATAACTCACCACTTTAAACGTATGTTTTTTTAAACTAGTTAATTAGTTGTACGAAGCAAACTGAGAAGCATCTGTTTTAAGGCACTGTTCCCTCTATTCTCCATTTAGATTCCAGCACTGGTGTCTCTGAAGAAATTGCCCACAGTTTACTTTGCTGGAGTGGACAGCCTGGATGATGTGAAAAATCGCACATACAATGAGCTTTTCGTGTCTGGAGGACTCATTGTGTCAGATGAGCTCGTTCTCAACCCTGACAGTATAACACTAGGTGAGAGCTAAAGGTAGATTGTAGAGGGGTTTACAAAATCTTCAGGCACCAGCTTGTTGAAAAGATCTCCCTCTTCAAGTGTGAACGTGTATTGTTAAAGACTGCATGAAATAGAAATTCACTCTAGGTTCTAAATGCATCTTAATGATTTTATTGAGAATGATTCATCTATGCATGTATCTATCTATCTATCAATCTGTTAAATGGATAATTTTCAAACAAAACACAGCAGCTTGATCTTCCGATGAAATGGCAGACCTCTCTGGAGATATCTGCTTTAAACCACCCTTTTCTTGCAATTCAATTCTTGCATTCAGTACTGCCTTTATTCGATCAACTGATGTCCAGAACCAACTCCCACCCTACATTTTGTTCAAATGTATTTTTTTAAATTCAAATTGTTACAATATACAAGAAAAGATTGAGACTTTTGCACATTGACGTTTATGTATACAGAGAAGCTACAGGCATTTCTCAAGTTCCTGGAGGAACAGGGCTCACCTTGGAAGTGGAAGGTGCACTGTAAGACTCAGAAGAAGCTTAAAGAGCTCAGCAGGTTAGAGACAAATGGATTAATGTGTTTTGCCAATCCTGACAGACTCCTAGTCTCCAATATCTCACACATCCTCACTTTTACAGGTTAAATACTGAGGCCCTGAATCTGTTGAACCTGCTGACGACCTACCAGAAGAAACACCTGGTGGAGTTTCTGCCTTATCACGAGTGTGACACTCCATCTAGGCAGGCTCCTGATTTGGACTGTCTGGTCAAGCTACAAGCTCAGCACACACAGCTTCGACACCTCATTTTCCTCACAGGTACGTGGAACAGGTCTAGTTGAAGTTCTGGTGTATATGAATGTTGGTGTGTGGAGTTGTCTGTTAAGTTTAAGTTTCTTGGTGCTGTGTTCGTACACAGAAAAACACGATGAAACATTCTCCCAGTTCTCCGGTAGTGGAGTCATCATTGCTGGTATGAATGACATCATGAACAACTTCCAGAGTTTGATCACTGTCCCTGAAGAAGTAGCAGTTGCTGCCCTACCTGAACCAGGTAAAAACACAGTCCTTTACTTTTCCTGACAAAATTCTGAAAGAAATTATAGATTTAAATTTTGACACTATCTTCTCTTTGACTGCTCAGTGGAGCCTGATGCGGTTCGAGATGAGGAGGACATGTCTATAGACTCTGAAGATGACATGCCCATTATCACAGAGATGTCCATTCAGACTGAAAATGAACTTCAGGCACCTCAGCCCCCTCCACCCCAGACCGATGGATTTCGTCCTCCCCTCCCTGACCAACCCTGTGTGGACCCCATTAGCGATCCACTTGTACCACCAAACCCCTCCGCCTACCCTACCCAGAGCTCTTTCTCCACTGATTATGCAGCTCTGAAGTCCGCTATCGCTCAATATAAAGCTACCAGTCAGGAGAGCACATCTAGGCCTGATGTAGAGGACACCCTGGCCAGTTTCGGTGTGAACCCCCACCAGAGCTACCTGTGTCCCAGCTCGGCACAGTGGAGCCCTTACTCTGGTTCTCCTGCATACCATATGTCCTCGGCATATTCGTCTCCAGTTAGCGTGGCCTCCAGGGGATCAGAGTACAGCCAAACTGTTGCTCCTCCTGGGACCCAACCTCCAACAAACACCTCCACTATACCCAATGCTCAACCACTCACCGTTCCCCTTTCCCTCCCTCAGCCCCCAGTTAGCTCAGTGGAGGTGCCTTCTATTCCAGAATCAGCCACCTCTCTTCAGCCGCCTGGACAGTCCCTACCCATTCCTGACAGCATGGGAGTGCCTGGGGCGGCAGCGGCAAGCACTGCTAATCAGTTAGGACTTGCTGGCTCTCAAACTGCTAAGATAGGTGTAGAGTCTGCTTCCTCATCCTCTCTTCACACCACTTTTCCTTCCTACCCAGATACTACTCTTTTTCCTGCCCTTACTCCAATTCCCCCTGTTCCACCGCTTTTCGGCTGGGGTCCTACACCAGGAGCCCAGCAGGGTTACGCGGCTAGACGGAGTGGGGCAGGATTCGGTGCTCTACCTTCCACCCAAACTGAGGCCGCAAGGCCTGCTGATGGATCATGGTTGGGAGCCATTGAGAGTGAAACCGCTCGTGGACAAGAGGAAGAAGGTGCCCCTACTTCAGCGACTTCTAAAGTGGTCCAGCAGGAGGCCGGTGGAGAGAAAAGAGGTGCACTGGGTAGTTCAACCTCATGCGGCCAAGGCAGCAGAACTCCAGTGAACTCGTCCTCTGAAAGTCAGGGCGGCAGTCAAGCCCCTCCCACCAGGGGCGGCACTGCCAGCAGAGGCCTCTTACCCATCCCTGGAGCCGCAATGGGAGCCTTGTGCCGAGGCGGACACAACAATAGCATGTACAATCCCAGAGGGGGACATCCTGATATGATGCGTGGTGGTTTCAGGGGTCGAGGAGTACCGCCACATCCCATGAGATCTAGACCGGGTCGGGGTCACATGAGAGGGGGCCCATCCTGTAACTGGGGTTATCCCCCTGGGAGGGGAGGGGGTGGTCGGTCAGACTACTATTCGGACTACACCTATAACTAAATGCCATAGGGATGTCCTATAGACTACTGGCATTAGGAATGTACATATTTAACATTAAGAGCACATCAAATCAAAATATCATCATTTGAAAAATAAAAATAAAAATCTGGTTTTGTATGACTGAGATTGGTGACTCAGACATTGGCCAGATTTTCACAGTTTTCAGTAATGCTCTTCCTAAACAAAATGTTTGAAAAACCTTGTTCATACCACTATATTTATATTGCCAAGAAATGTAATTGCCTTTCAATGTTTAATTTTTGTCAGTACTTTTCGTTAGGATTTTCAACAAAAAAATGGTTTGTGAACAAGGAGCAAAATGCAGACAATATTTTTTTAAAGAGAAAAAGTGAGTCATTCTTAATTTTAGCTGTTTTTGTTTCTTTTTTCATTCTTGGTTGTACAGATGTTCTATTAAAACAAGGTTGTATCAAACATTGTGATATTGTGTTCAGTATTAACTTGCAGTTGAGAATGTGTGAACTCTTTGTAAATGTACAGTTATTTATGATGCTATATAAAAATGGTTACAGGTTTTCTTTTCCAATGAGGTTAATCAATGCCAAAGTTGTTTATATGTGTGCATTGGCAACATTCGACCTAATGGTTTTACAGCCGGCCAGCAGAGGGCATCATTTCCTAATTGATTCTGCTGGCCTGATGCTGATGCAGTTTTCTAAAGGGGGTTATATTTCTTGTCAAAACGGAACGAATTAATGTGTTTAACTATATAATGAAGATTATGCATCTTGATTTCAAAACTGACTCTGAATTTGCCCTTTGTACATGACATACATGAATAGAATATGGTTAGTTGAAGTTTTGTAGAAAATACCTCAGGGCATTTCACAAATGTTACTATTTACCAGATAAACGGCTATGTCTCTGAAAACAATGCGTAAGATTTTGTTCAAAACACTTTTTATGCTAATTCTATATTTCAACCCAAGTGAACGTCAGTTTTGATTGGGATGAGAGTTGTCTGCTGTTTGGTTCCCATAAGGGAATGGAATGGAAGGGAAGGGAAGGGAAGGGAAGGAGGGGGGGGGATTAAAAAATGGCTGAAATATTGCTGGAGTACCTAGTTTTGCCCCAAAGTGTAATCCACTAAATCTGACTTTCGGTTATCTCCTCTCTCATTTGATCTGAAGTTTTGTAGAAAATACCTCAGGGCATTTCACAAATGTTACTATTTACCAGATAAACGGCTATGTCTCTGAAAACAATGCGTAAGATTTTGTTCAAAACACTTTTTATGCTATTTCTATATTTCAACCCAAGTGAACGTCAGTTTTGATTGGGATGAGAGTTGTCTGCTGTTTGGTTCCCATAAGGGAATGGAATGGAAGGGAAGGAGGGGGGGGATTAAAGAATGGCTGAAATATTGCTGGAGTACCTAGTTTTGCCCCAAAGTGTAATCCACTAAATCTGACTTTCGGTTATCTCCTCTCTCATTTGATAGTCATCTCTCAAAATAACACTAGTATTACAAACACAGCACAAAGGCAAGGCTGTAACGAGGCAGTCAATGTTATATATATCTTGATGTTTACCACATCAAATATGAGTTTGCTGATGAGATCAGTCAGTCCGTTTGGCGAGTCTAAATAATTGATCAGTTTTTTAAATGCTGTTTTGATGTTTAAGGATGTACAGATTTGGATAAACTTAAAGAGGATGAGATCTAATGAGAAATTATTGTGTATGATCACATAGGTGTGATTTTTTTATTTATATTTTATAGAGAAGATCTGGTAACATTTCATTTGGCAGGACTGCACAACAGATGAACAGCCATGGGACACATGTCGACGTATTACGAATGTGAAAGTGGGTTGCCGCAGATAAATCTGATCGCATCTGGAAATGGGCTGCATGGATTAACTCTGTACCTTTGCCATGGTGCTCTTTCATTTTCATATTTAGCTTTTACTTTGAATACTGTGCATGGTGTGGGAGGGAAAATTCTGGCAGGGGTGTTAATCCTCTCCCATAGCACATCTCTGTAATGAAAGAGCAATTTGCTTAATGCAAAGTGCAGAGATGAATAATATCACACATAAACAGACCACTTTTTCTTCATTTATCATGTCTCTTCTTTGAGTTGTGGAGTTATTCGCTTTTCGCAACTGCTTGGTGTGAGCTAGCAGAACATTTATTTTTGCATACCGTCATGGTTCCACACCAAACTTTACCACCATGTTTTCTTGACAAAGGATTAGCTGTATCTAATGGTAATGACGCAACTGAAGAGATTAAACCTCTGTCGTCAATGGATCCAGAAGGCCTTCTGTTGTCCTCTTTAAATCAATGCCTGCTTATAGTATCAAATCAACAACACCTAGATGTTTTTGACTACCTTCAAAGGGCAGGGGTTTATATTTCTGAAAAATCTTGCAAGAAGAGCTTGTGGTCACCCTATATTACCAGCTGATAGATGTGCCCCATATACTAGAATCAAAGGCAGCTCTGATTCAACTTTTGTTCTGCTTAAATAAAACACTACATTAGAGACACCTTAAATGTTGCTGTTGTCATGACAATCACCGTCTTTTGTTGAGATTTACAGAGCAAACTTGTGCTTCTTTCAATCCTTCAAATTCAATACACATGCTCTTGGGTCTTAAAAAATTATAAATTCACTGCTCTGGATTTTCATCACATTACTAGCAGTGCAGTCCCACGCATTCAGCGTAAACAAATGGATCACTTCATACTGTGAGACAGGAGACAACCTCTAAATCTGAGGACCAAAATAATTTATTAGGGAATTATGACAGATTAATTTGTGATGCTTGTCCCTATGGTTCAAACAGGCTTAAGCAATTCTGTGGGATTTTGAAGTCACAAATTTGCTACTCAGAGGCATTTCTTTCTCTAATTATGGTGAAGTTTTCCGTGTACCATTCAACTGTAGGCGGTTCAACAACAAATGCAGCTTTTGGGTGGCCATTTTTCCCTGTCATGAGTGGCTCAAGGAACACTACGTGCCTGTCGGACTGAGACTTGCTCTTGAGTCGATCGGTTGAAGGAGCTGCAAAGATAGAGGCCAGAGTGCAGCGGTCTTCCCCAAAGTTTGAGATGGCCGGAGAGGGAGGAGCTTTGCAGCAACCACAACGACATGGGGTTAAATACAGATACATCAATATGAGGACAAGTGTCACCACACATCCCAGAAGAGTGGTGTAGCCTGTGTTGAACGGCGCCTCCATGTCGTGCTGGGCTACCACCGTTAAATTCACTTCTCGTGATTCATTGATCATCCTCGTATTATCCACTGCAGTGCACTGGTATACCCCCGAATCTATAGACTGGGCAGCTAGAATATCCAAGCTACCATCTTGATTGAGATGTAGAGATCCATTCTGGATCAGCTGAGAGATGTTTTCTTGATGAGGAATGATCCAGCTGTAAGACAGGTCTTCTCCGTTTAGTGTTCCAGTGCAGTCCAGTCTCACTTGTTCACCCTCGTAAACAACTTTATCAGCCTTCGGAGATATCAGGGATATCATCTTCCCAATGGTACAGTTCTCAAAGAAGTGCGAAGAGCGCAGAAAATTAATTGAGATTTGAGGCTCACCGTACATCAGACACTTGTAGTCATCCTTGTAGTCTTTCACACTTGGATATCCCTTCTGCTCCCAGTGCCAAAACATGCGGTACAAAGAGCAATCGCACTCCAGACTGTTGTTGTGCAGGAACAGGCCTTTTTGCACTGCAGCGGGCAACACCACAATGTCATCCATAGGCAAACGAAACAGGCGGTTAGAGGAGAGGTCCAGTGTAACCAGCTTGGGGTGGCTGTGCTTACGAATCGAGAAGAACGGGAAATCTGTGATCTGGTTGAGGCTGAAGTAAACCTTCCTGAGACTGCTGAGCCCCATTAGGGTGTTGCTCTCCACGCGGGTAAGACGATTGTTGTAGAGCAACAACACCTCCAAGGCTGGCAGGTCCTGGAAGTGATGCTTCCCCACCACCTGCAATTTGTTGGAAGAGAGGTCCAGGTATCGAAGACTGCTGATGTTATGGAAAGCTCCCGGGCTGAGCAAGGAGATGCGGTTATGGGACATATGCAAAGTGTGCAGCCTTGGGAGCCCGTAGAAGCTGCCAGCTGCCAGCCATGTTAGTTTGTTATGACTGAGGTCCAGGACAGAAGTTGTGAATGGAAGCGGGTTAGGGAATCTATCCAGACCCAAGGAGCCACAGTTCATTATGTCAGATATGCACAGGCAGCCTTGAGGACAAATAGCCCCCGAGAGCCGAACCAAGAGTGAGATCAAAACCACACAAGATGTAGAAGTCATTCTTTTGGTTGCACATAAAAAGGATTACACCAGGAACAGCGCCAGCACAGTTGATACAGGAAGCCTTCTGCTCTTAAATCCTAGAAAGGTCATTTTACATCTGTCATGTCTTCCAATATTTCACAGATGGCCATCTAATTTCCTGTGTACCATGCAGATGGGCAGTATCTGGGGCATAGAACGGACTAAGAATAAAACAGTATGCAGTTACTACATGTATTTAAAATTCATGTTTTACATTGGTTAACCTACTCTATTAGCACAACATACACAGGAAAGCCTACCAGAAATGTCACTCAGAACCTTCTTAGATCCGGTTCCTCTGTTCTTACTTTGCTGTAACAATCGATGGTTAGAAGTTGTTCAAACAGATTATCCCGCTGTGAAAGCATCCAGAAAGTCCAAAGCATTTTCCAGTAAGTTTAATATATGCCTAAAACGAAACTCGCACCTTTCCCGGTTCTCCTGAGGCTGAGCGCCCTTGTTGTTTGCAGAGTGTCCTTTCATTGAGTGATGAGCCCACAGAGCGCAGCACTAATCTCTTCCCACCCTTGCCTCTGCTTCCTATTCAAAGCACCGCCTCACGTCTCTCCCTCTCACGTTGTGATTATTCCCGATACGGCTCTCTCTTTCTATCTTTCTCTCACTCTCTCTTTCTCTCTCCAATTGTTATCCCCTCTGGATTTGTCTTTTTCCGTTTCAAATTTTACCTCCACACAGCACATCTCTTAACAGGATTTAGGATGCTGTGTGTTTGTCTTGTCTTACATTTCATGAAAATCATCAAAACATTTGGACTTGGATGAGAGAATTTTTTTGTATAGCATGAGGTACCAGTCAGCTTAGAGACCGCAGCTTTGACTCACCCTCATTTCCACTGCCAGGTGGTGTTTGGCAGCTGTTGTTGGTTGTCTTGGTCATGGTGGTCCTGAGGGAGCTGACTGCTGTCACACTAAATTGGTCTTGGTTTGTTTGTGCTTCTTCAGGTGCCTTTGGCACACTATCATCATCTAGTACATCTGAATGGTAGTATCGATATTTAATCTAAATGATTTTAATATCTGTAATTTTATAACAGGTTCCAAATTAATTTGATTAGATGAACATCTATCTATCTGTCCGTTCGTCCATCTAATGGATCGCTTAGCTGGAGACAAACCTTCTGATTGCTCTAATTTTTAATATAATTACCTAATGACATCCACCTTCAGTTCATTTGTCCAGGCTTTTT